TATATATATATATATATATATATATATGGAGCACATATGAATGGAAAAATTAGTCAATCAAATTTATCATTACACCAACATTTTATTGCTAATAATATATGAGAAAAATAATATTTAAACTCTATCAATAATATAAAATAATATAATTAATATTATACTGTTTCATGCAATTCAACTAATTACATGTTGATTCAATTCGTGATTTACTGACCTAATATTTTGACTGTTATTCAAACCAGCTAGATACTAATAATATTAATTGATTGCATTAATTTGAAATTAAGAGATTGAATCTGATTAAAATATCAGTTTCAAAAAAATAAATAGTAATCATTATTAATTATAAACTAAAAAGAAAATAATATGTAATTATAATTATATCAATTTTTAACAAAACTTTAATATTTGTTATTATTAGTATCGAGTAATATGAAATTATATATAGTTAGTATATATATATATTAATGTATAATTAAGAGATTGAATTTGTTTAGAATGTCAATTATAATTATTTATTTATATTTTTATTTATAATATATAAATTATAAGCTATGGAACAATACTTTATCACGTTAGTATGGTATTTATCGTTACATTAGACTATTTCTTCGTTTTTTAATGACATTGCCAATTATGTTATGCAATATTTTCCTTCTTTCTATTATCTCTCTTGCCCTTCATTTATAGTTACAACTCTACTATTTACAAAATTTTTAATTGACCATTTCAAAAAAAGAAACATTTATTAAATAATTACTAATGGTTAACAACTATTTGTAACCTTCCATTTATAAATTTAAAAAAGAATGTTAAAAATGTTATGAATAATAATTAGTGGCTTAATTAGTGGATGTCAATATTCATTATCAATCATTACCATTTATATGTTCGTTATGTATTATTCCCTTTATTGTGTAATTGTTCAATTACCACATGTACTTATAAATAGGTTACTCCTCTCCCTAAGATAATAGACAAGTCAGATTCTATTCTCCATCTTATATTGTCTTGTTTCTTCTCTCTACTTTTTCTCTCTTTTATAACACGTTATCAGGACGATAGTCTTTTATCTATTGGTGTTACAACTACAAGATAAAGTTGTGAAGAATTTTCTTCAAGAAGATCATCTTTATCAAGACAAATATTTTAAGGTTAGTTTTTCATCTTTCATAATAAGAACTTTATCAAATATTTATATTATTTACATTATTATGAATCAAAGTAGTCCTGAAGACATTATAGTAGTCCTGAAGACATTATAGTAGTCCCGAAGACATTATAGTAGTCCCGAAGACATTATAGTAGTCCCGAAGACATTATAGTAGTCCCGAAGACACTATGAAATAAAGAAATTCTTCATACATTTTTGAAATGTCTAGAAGACATTATCAAAGAAGAATGTTCAAATTCTATTATTTTATTAATTTATTTTTTTCACCAGAAGTGAGAAAAATCTATGTTTTTACATATTACATACATTTTGCCTAATATATATGGAATGATGAATATATTTATTCAGCCTAATAATAATATTATTATGACACATATTTTCTGCTCATGTTATCAATTTAAATATTCTGCAATAATATATATATTAAATTAGAGACAATTTTTTTTCCATAATTAAAGAAGTATTAATTTATAAATTTATGGCTATTTATGATTCCTTTATTATTATTATTATTATTTTCCCCTAATTTTGTCTCTCTTTTATGATAGTATTGAACATGTTAAATATTGCGAAACTCGAATTTGTTGCTCTTGACATTACGGGAAAGAATTATTTATCTTGGATATTAGATGCTGAAATACATTTAGATGCAATGGGTCTTGGAGACTCTATTAAAGAAGAAAACAAAGCATCTAACCAAGATAAGGCTAAAGCTATGATTTTTCTTTGTCATCACCTTCATGAAGGGTTAAAAGCTGAATATCTTACCATAAAAGACCCACTTGTTCTTTGGAATAATTTAAAAGAAAGATATGACCACCAAAAAACTGTGATTCTCCCAAAAGCTCGTTATGATTGGATGCATTTACGGTTACAAGATTTTAAATCTGTAAGTGAATATAATTCTGCAATATTTAGAATTACTTCTAAATTGGAATTGTGTGGAGAAAAAATTACTGATGAAGATATGTTAGAAAAAACATTCTCCACTTTTCATGCATCGAATCTGCTCCTGCAGCAACAATATCGAGAAAAAGGGTTTAAGAAATATGCTGAATTAATTTCCTGCCTCCTTGTGGCTGAGCAAAATAATGAGCTTTTATTAAAAAATCATGAGGCTTGACCAACTGGCTCTGCTCCATTCCCATAAGTGAATGTTGCAACCCATGATAAAGAAACTAGTGGTCAAGGCTATGGTCACAACCGTGGAAATAATCGTGGTCGTGGTCATGGTCGTGGTCGTGGTAGTAAAGGCGGTCGTGGTCATGGTTATGAGGTAAAAAACAATTTTTCACACCAGAAGTGAAAAAATAATGGGAAAAATAAGAAGGAAATGGATGGACATGGTAACAAACACGAGAAAAACAAATGTTATCGTTGTGGTGCCAAGGGTCATTGGTCACGTAATTGTCATACACCAAAGCATCTTGTTGAACTTTACCAAGAATCCATTAATAAGAAGAAAAAGATAGAGACACATTTTGCTTACGAAGATGGTGATCAAATTATGGTCATATGGATGTTACTCACTTGGATATTGCTTATTTCTTTGCTAATTTGTCATAAGCCCATCATTTTCAAGCCACTATCACTAGGCACATGCCTATCATTTCTTACAACAATAGGTGATGGTAAACTTTGTATAATTTCAGGTTCAGATGTTGGATGTTCGACCGAACTTTCTTTGTATGAAATGAAAACTTTGGGGATGTTGTGCTTGGATATTTTTGTAATGTTGGTTTAATTGTAATGGTATTATCAACAATTAGTAATGATAGTATTGAAGCATTGCCTCAAGTTTAAATTTAACTGTTAGTTTTTAAGAGTAAAACCATTTTGTGAATGACAAGAGTAAAACCATCGGTGCACGAAATATCAATGTGAAACCAGACCAATAATCATAGACATATATATATTAAGCTCTATATTTTTAACGACTTGAATACATATGGTCTGAAATTTGAAAGAGTTAAATACATGTGCTAAGAAAGTTCAAAGACTAAAAACATAAATTCATAACATAATTTGCTTGTGCTGAAGCAATATGATTCAAATAAATCACTGAGGAGGAAAATCATCTAGATAACGCTGAAGGTGCCAATTATACATCCTATCTACCATATAATTATAGTGTTGTTAACGTTCATCCATCTCTTGCAATCGACGATCCATACACTAAATTGCAGATATGATATCAGCATTGTCTACATGTACATGCAGTTGTGTGGTGAAATCTTGGTCCTCTGTGTCCTGTTCCTCTGCTTCAGGTTCTACCTCCTAAGGAACAGGTTGTTGTTGGGGTACATCAGTCAATAACTACAAGGGGAAACACCATGCGGTTTCATCCTTGAGTGTATACTGTCGGTTTAGTAGTAAGTGATTCACTCCAGTTTAGCTAACAATGATATAAAACATGCCATCATTGTCCTTAGTAATACACTATATTGCATAACAAGTATTAAAATTAATGCTTCAAGGAGCTCTGGTATCCTGCAAATGGTCCAGAAATGAGGTATAGCTCAAATTTTTAGCAATTGTAGTTATCAAGCCCCCATTAACAATATTACCAAATCCAGTGTTTGAAATATTTTTCAATTGTCTAGCCAAATATGCACCAAAGTTGATCTTTTCATCACTATTTTTCATCATTGCCCATATAAATAGTAAATTAGTTAGGTGTACCTTTCCCTCTAAGTCGCCACGACTTAGAACAGTAGATGTAATAAACTTGTGCATAATTATTCTAATGGCAGGGTGGCGAAATGAAGACGGATTGCATTT